TGTCTGCCCCGAATATCTCGTCAAGCTCCCTGCCACCTTTTGCAGACTGGTCTGTGAAATTTTTTAACTTCTCCACCAGATTTTCCTGTTTCTGCCCCAATATTTCTGAAACCTGCCCCTATTTCTGCCCCGACCTGTGGTGTCTGCCCCGACGAGATCTCGTCGAAGCATGCCACGTTTCGCAGACTGGCCTACATGTAAAGGGATGTAGATACAGTTAGTTGGGCACTCTTCTTAATTCAGTTTTGTGCACCACTTCCTGCTTTCACCATGCTGTGCCCACTCTGCTTTACAGTGGACAGCTGCTTCTGTGACACGCATTAATCTTGCGTTCATTGAAACACTTAGTTTTGAGTGTTTTGACTCAGTTTTGTTGTAACGTTACCTGTGTTTATGTTTTCAATAACTTGTTTTGGGCTTCTCATATTTATCTTTTTTTTTTCTGGCTTAGCAGGTTTAGTGTAAAACAAGTTTTAGCTGACATTTTACATGTTAAGATTACATGAGTGCATGCATTTTATAAAAGCTATTTCAAAGTACTGTAGCCATGTGTAACATGCATATGTCTTAGTGAATGACTACTCAGCATGCTGCTTGGTGCTCAATGGTAATAGTTTGATTTGTTTTTGACATCAAGTAAGATTTGATTTTTGTTTCTGAGATTCCAATGTTATTTGTGGCAAATATTGTCCAAAAATCCTCCATCTAAAGCTTCAACTGAATTCTAAAATGCCTGCATTTTCTACCAGAAACATTATCATTGATTCCTCCTACAATATTTCATTTTGTCACCAGGTACCTGGACTGGTGAAAAGTGAAAATCATAGACGCTTCCGAGACGAAATCATAGACGCTGCAGTGTGGAGAACAGCTTGGAGGTACCTTCGTCGAATTGACTGCTGACGAGCAGGTGAGTATATTCCTCTTGAAGGAATCGCAGGTGAGCCACAGTCACCGTGGTGATGTCGGCTATTGCTGGGTCCGACGTCTCGTAGGTGGACAGCAGCTTCAGGACTGTTTCCTGAAATCTGGCAGATTTCTGTAGCAAATTGAATTTTGGGAGATCAGGCCTGCTGACTCCGGCTCGGCTGTCCCCGACAGTCAAATCAGGCGGCAGCTTGATTTTCGCGACACTCTCCTTGATGGCGCGGAACTCGCTCTGTAGCTCACAGTATGAGCCTTGGACAGCACTCTGTGTCGACTGACGCTGCTCGTCCACGGTGACGTGCCGACGACCGGCGCTGTCAATGTTCTCGCCGGCTGTTGCGGCGCACTGCTGCCCGACGGCGGGCGTGTTTGCAACCAAACTCTCAACAAGCGCCTCCAGACGCTGGAACCTGGATGACAGCTCCGACACACTGTCTGCCAGGCTATCCAAGGTCTTTTCCGCCATTGGCAAGCGGAAATGACGTGGTCGCCTAAAATGACGGCGACCACACCCAAACACACAGGCACAGCACAGCGCACCGGCGCACGCGCACCGGTCGGAGAGCGGGACAGAACTGACCTCGCGAGCGGTCAACCGCTCGCGCATGTAGCGCCTCTAGCGCCGAGTGCCAGCAACGTTGGTTTCTTGAAACTGAAATTCATTCATGTCACCATTATCCTACGACCTACCCCTAAATGGAATTGATCTTGTCTCACAAATGAGTTGTACATTGTACAATGTCTATCAGCTGATGTCTATTGTCTATCCCTCTTTCAGCACAGAAGATCCTCAGTCATAGTTAACAAAATGGAAAAAAAATTAGCTGTCTTTTTAAGATTCCAGTGGTGGCCATCAACTGCTCAGGAAAGCAGCCCAGAATCACTTCACAACAGGTATGTTGATGCATGTACATTGTGCATTGACATCAATGTCTGAATGCTGAAGAATTGTTGAACAGGGAACACATTTACCTAGCCTCTAAAAACCACAAATCCTACATTACTTACATAAACATTTTTCTATAGAACTTATATTATCTACTTTCATCTGGCTAAGGCTTTTTTTTACATTATATTCCCTCTGTTAAACATGAAAATATGAGTTATAGACTAGTATAACAAGCTGGTAATTATATCTGCCTTGTCAGCTTGGCCAACATCTGCATCATGTCTATCACAAAATTGACTGCTTTCCTGACATTTGCATTTGTTCCACTCACCAATTGACCACTTCTACCATCTGCTTGCTCTATGCACAGACATTGTCATAGGGTCTGTTCCAGTGGCAGCTTTCGCCCCTACAAAGTCAAGAAGGGCCCTGCTCCAATCTCCTCTATCTTGCTCTTTGAGGAGTTTAGATGTGTTAGGAAGTGCGACTGGAGCAGACCCATAGCAAAACAGTTTCATCTCCCTGAGTCTGAACTGTCTTTTTCCAGGTTTCCAAAGGATCATCATTCATCAGCACAGAAGGAAGGGAAAGAGAAGGCTGTTCAAATTCTGAAAAGCCAGAGCTGCAAAGGAGGTCAAAGATGCAGTGCAGTTGGCCCACTCAGTAGAGTTTCACTAGTGGTTCTGATGTGGACTGAAGATTACACGCTGGATTGAAGTGGCCGGTCTGGAGCAGCTGTAGTTCATCGTTCTTGCTGATTGTGGACGAGTAAGAGCCCGCGTTGGCCCCGATCGGCGATCGCTGGCCAAAGCCCACCACCAGTTTGGTGATAGGCGTTGGCTGTGATATCTAGTGTCGCCTATGTGTGAAAGGGACAAGTTGATAACAAAACCTGTTGCGCCATGTTATTAACCCGCGCCCGGGTGGCCCTCAGCCAACTTGGTGTGGGGGGGGACGTGTATTCGGCCACACCAGGTTATCTTGGAATGTAGCAAAGCTGGAAAGACGCAGTAAAATCAATCTATAGATCGCTATTTTTCTTCAGAATCATGCAGGTCATTTTTGATCAGGTCATCGCTGAGGTCACTGGAGGTCACCAAAAGTAAAATGATGACGAATTTTGGCCCCCGATTTTGACAACTTCACAAATTGGTCCATAATTCGGGAACCAAAGAAGCTACAGCGCCGCGGAAAAGCGAATTCGATAGCTCTTTCGAAAATCTTTCAGGTTCTCAGATTTGAGCTAAGGTCAACTAGGGTTAAGCCTCCAAAGGGCAAAAACTGAACAATCGGCTTGCTTCGGAAGTCGTCTTTTCTTTATTTTTTTTTTTTAACTGATACCAACCTTTTATTACGTTGATTTTACCGGCACTGCGTTTTTCTCGTCTTCTTGGCCTAACAAGGTCAGCTTAATAAATTTGACCTCAGGTCAATGTCGCAGAAAATGCCATTTTGCATGTCATTGATTCGTTACATTGAAATTGAGATTAACATCAGTAGCGGCGGAACACCTTCAATTAAGGGGGCATTGCCGACTTTTGGTCTCATTCTTTCCATGCAACGCCCATAGGGCTAATGTTAAAATGCCAAAATCAAAGGGGGCACGGTGCCCCGGTGCCCTCGGCCTGTTCCGCCGCCTATGATTATGATGCTTTTAGCGCTCTGGCCACGTTCCATCTAAAATCGATGTACAAAAATAAACTGTTGGGAGGCGTTACATGACCTGAGATGACCTCAGGAGCATACGATAGATCCCGATGTTTGAGTGCTTTTGTTTCAAAAGCAGAACATTTTGAGTTCCTCATACTGACTGAAACTGGAGACGTCGCAAAGTTGACCTGACCCTAGGTCACCACCGATATCAAAATTAAAGATATTCAAGATGTTGGTACTGATTCTCTCATGCAATAGCTCGAGTTTCAAACTTCTACTTCATGGTGACCTGACCTGACCTTAGGTGACATGGGGTTACTTTTTTCACAATTGACGTGAATCGATGCATTATACATAAGCTATACTAAGTTTCGTGTCGTTTTATCTATGCAAGCACAAAATTGTCAGGTGTGGCCAAAAACGCCCCCACGGCCCACCCACCTGGGGGACGTTAAAGCAGTGATGTATTTTTTTTTTTCGGTGTATTCCACGATGCATCGATCGGTGTACTTGATAATGCATTATTTATTGCTGCGTGTGTACGCTTTTCCTCTGTTCAGTTGTGATCTGTGATAGGAAAACTACCGATATATCTCCACGCGCATGACTGAAAGAGCTGGCGTGATCTATAATATTGGGTGTCTGTTTTTGTTTGGCATTTTTAAATACTGAGTCAGCTGTGATCGTTTGATGAGACACTGGGACAGCCGGCCTGTATGATCAGCGAACGGCAGGCGGCGGGGCAGTGGTCCGGTGGCTGCTGCATGGGACTGACACCAGCAGATTCAGAGCTGCGATATGCGGACGTTATGTTCACAATACCTTTGCAAAATAATATCTGATAGATATCATGTCCTCGAAAATGTTCTTCAATCTCCTGGCTTATTCCATGGGGGGCCGAAACCGATCGTTTTATGCACGCCTTTTTCTGGGCCTCGTTCTCCTCTAAATGCGTGTAGGTAGCAATTTTATTCAAGGGACGATTGAAAGTGCCTCCGATTGGTTTTCAGCGTAGGTGGGATATGGCCGTTGAATGCGAGGCAGTCGATAAGGAACGTCGAGCTGGAACGGTCATTGGGTAGGTACTAGGTAAGGTATGTGAAAGGCAGCAGTGGAAAACAGGAAGGGAGGCATTTGGTGTGAGGTTTCAAATGCTCTATGCATAAGAAAAGTTCATTTGATTATCCCGCGCCCTGCTGGGGGTCCTGGATTTCCACGCCCTGCTGGGGGGGGGGGGGGGTGTTTGAACACCCCCCCCCCTTCTAACTCGGCTCCTGGGCCACGTAGCGATACGCGGAAGGCGGCGTTCGAAAGAGCGTCAAAAATATGAGGAAATCACTTCGGTCAATTTTTTGGTCAGGTCAAAGGTCAGGTCACCAGAGGTCATTGAAGGCAAATTTTCGCCGATTTCCAGGTCGAATGTCGAAAATTTCCAAGAAGCCAACGCATAACTCGGGAACCAATAGAGCTACAGCGCCGCGGAAAAGCGCATTCGATAGCCCTATTAACGCCCTTTCTGAGTAATTTTCTCAGATTTGACCTAACGTCAACGGTTTTGCCTGCAGGGGGCAAAAACTGCAAAAATAGCCGATTTTTTCGGAAACAGTTTTTCTGCAATAACTTTTGACCCAAGCATTGTACGAGCTTACTTTTACCGGCATCGTGTTCCTCTCGTCAAGACGCATCGAACGAACTATAATTTGACCTTGAAAGGTCAACTTGAAAATTTGACCTCAGGTCAAGGTCATGACCTGACCGGAAAGGGTCATGTTGCATATCAGTCGATCCGTATCGTCGAGCTGAACACATCTAAGGCGTTTTCATCGCTCTAGCATGCCTCTATCAAAAGTTATTTGCGAAAAACTGTTAGATACCATTCGTGACCTAAGATGACCTCAGGGCATAAACAGGGGTCACAGACACCATTTTCATGTTCATTGTGTCTAAACCACTTGTAATTCAGTGTTTGGGAGTGTTTATAATGTCTTTCGTCCAAAACAGGCGCATTTCAATTTTCTCCCATTGACTTATAATGGTGAGGTCGCAAAATTGACCTGACCTTAGGTCATCGATATCAAAATTCTGAGATATACATTTTGTACATGCTAATGCTCTTAGCAATCGCTGAAAGTTTCAAAGCGATCGGTCACTCGGTGTAGCTATGACAGACATTGAAACTTTTTATGAGGTGAGGTCACTTCGAGTGACCTGGTGACCTGACCTTGAATGACCTTGGTCTGAAATTTTCACAACATGTGTAGAATTGATGTATGATAAGGTGTACCAAAAACGGCGGCGCTCCGCGCCGCCGTTTTTGAGATATTCGCGAAAAACCACAGGGGGGGGTGTTCAAACACCCCCCCCCCCCCCAGCAGGGCGCGGGTTATATGACACCGTCCTTTTTATCGCGATACGTGAGCAACGCATGAGACGCTCACTGTTCAGACTTGTAGCGTTAGAGACAGGCTGAGAAGGGCTATTTCCGGGAAAGGATATTGGAATTTGAATTGAAATGCACTTAGTTTTGAAAGCATCAGTACTTCTTAACACGATAATGACTCATTTAAAATTTCAATTTTTCCCCATTGCGATAACATAAGAAACAGAGACTGCGGTGTCCCCGTACGCAGGATTCTGGAGACTGCCAGGCGGATGTTAGTAGCTAAAAGCTTTTTTCTTTATTAACAGATAACAATCATTTCTTTTAATACTTTGTAACACCTAACTCACTAGAAAAATCTGTACGGGCTTCCAAAAATGCTATATTTTACATGTTAGATCCATTACAATATTTTAGCTGCCCTAACCTGTAAATGTAACGGATGCGTCATTATTGAAAACGTGCTAAAGCATAGTATTCTATTGCTGACAAATATTAATGTAACGGATTGAAGAGGGGCATATTTACGTCTGGACAACGAGTTGCGGGGAAAAGTGCTGATTGTGTTGCAGTTTTAGGAGCCGGTGATTAGGCTGGATTTTTGGGTTACTTTTTCGTTCCGATTCATGTATTTCATAGTGTTTGGCTTTTGAATATTTTAGTTCTCTCAGATAAATATTACTTGCCTTACAACTTTTGTAAAAACGTTTCATTTTTTATAAGCCGACGTTCAGAGTCCTAAAAATACATCAGCACTACAATCATTGTAAACAAACAAATGGAGCACCACTTGGCTCTGTTCCAAGGCCATTTTTAGTTTATCTGGTGGTTTTCTTGCTCTTGTACGTCGTTTTGTTGGATGTTTTGAATCCCTTAAGATTGACTTATATCATATTTAAGAAGCATGTTGACTGAAAACAATCTGAAGTATCCAGGAGGCTGACAGAGGTCCTGACTACTGAGCAATATCAATATCAAGTTGAACAAGTTATGAAATTTTGGTTGATAAACGCAAGTTGATCGGGCTCATCTATCAGCAAGAAAAAGTAAAATTAAAAGAGCTTATTGTCCAAAAACAAGCTATAATATTGCAGACCTTGGAGCAATACTGAAGAGCACGCTGAGCAGGATCATGCCAGAAAATGTTGACTGATGAGCGCATATTGATGTATTGGTATGAATATTGAATGATAACTAAAACTTACAACAGCAAGATAAATTAGTGCTAACTATCAAGTTAAAATCTAGAATGAATGGACTTGGGCAGTTTGTTAGATGCTATGCAGATTGTAATGTGCATCAGGTACTCAGTGTCTGGCAAATGAAACATGCGATCATTCCATTGCTACTGGAGGAGAAAGCTTGGATCACTAAATCCACTTTATGTTGATTTTGATGTTAATCATCATCACTGTATTTCTTGAAAAAAGGATTGTAGTAAAATAGTCAATGTGACAATCCATGCAACGATGTGATCATATTATGTGTTCATAGTCATTCGTGATAGTCATTATTGGTCCAATATACAATGGCAAAGCTCTCAGTCTCAGCGTTTCTTCCTGTGGATGGCCAGCAGTGACTCAGCAGTGACTCAAGAGCATAGAAGTATTAGTTTTCTTCACAGGGCTGGGATAAAAAGTACTGAGGGTAATCTTCCACCAAGGAACTCTACTTTGACATGGTATGAGATGTAGGCACAAGTAGGTAGGTGCTCAGTTCCTATAGTAAGTAGTTGTGTATGTTTAGTCGGGTTAGCTTAGATCAGATTGTTAGTTTTTTAATTTGCCAAATGTCCATAAAAATGTGACCTGAGCAATGAGCATACCTGAACCTGACTAACCTGACAGCTGACCTAACCTCAATCATCACACATATTTGCAGCCTACCCAAGACCTGCATGGCAGCAGCACCCAGTTATAGGTAGGTACTCACCCTAACTCAATCTTACCTGCTAACCTTCAACTTGCCAAAAGTTAGCTGAAGCTCACAATCACATTGCCAAGCTGTGTCCAGGGAAACAGAGTCAACTGAGGAACTGGCTCATTGGGTGGCTGGTGTGAGTCTGTGCATTTAAAGTGTTTCTTCTCTGAAGCTGCTCTGCACTGCTGTATGTCATGTTAGATGCTCAGAAAATGTGGGAAATGATTACTAAGCTACTTTAGTGCTTTGTTAATGCTCGAGACATGAACAAGTACAGATCCTGCAGGGTACAGCTATATGAGTTAGGTGCTAGCCGCTAGGTGAGTATGTTATGTGAATGTGCTGTTCCCTGTTTGACCATAAGTAT